TGTGTGTGTGTGTGTGTGTGTGTGTGTGTGTGTGTGTGTGTGTGTGTGTCTGTATGGGGGGCGGGCGGAAGAGGACATTGTCTGTTTCTATCATTCCCTGCCTTATTCTTTTGAAGCAGAGTCTCTCCCTGAATGTAGAGCTCACATTTTTCAGCTAAGAAGGCAGCCAGCAAGTCCAGAAGTCCTTCTCTCTCTGGAGTTATGAGCACATTCAAGCTCATGATCGCCTTGTTCCATGCGCGCTGGGATCTCAGTCCCTTCTGGTTGCACAGGAAGTCTTCTTGACTACTGAGCTTCCTCTGAAGCCCCTTTCTTCCTCATTTTTTTAAAAAGACAAGGTCTTACTGTATAGTCCAGTTGGGTCTTGAACTCATGACCTTCCTGCCTCCACCTAAGTGCTAGGATTACAAGTGTGTACCACTGTGCCCAGAAAGCCCTGCCCTTGGCCACCACACTGATGTTCTTTCAAAGGGCCCATGATTATGACTCTGTGGCTTTTAAGAATGTGTGTGTGTGTGTGTGTGTGTGTGTGTGTGTGTGTGTGTGTGTGTATCTTCAGCATGAGAATCAAAGACCAAGAACTGGTCTCAGTCTGAGGGAAGGATATTCATTTCTGCTTTAAAGACAGACTTTGACTAAATACTTGATAAAATGTTTTGTTCAAGAATTTCAACAGCCAGGTGGCGGTGGTACACGCCATTAATCCCAGCACTCGGGAGGCAGAAGCAGGCGGATCTCTGTGAATTCGAGGCCAGCCAGGTTTACAAAGCGAGTTCTAGGACACCTGGGACTGTTACACAGAGAAACCCTGTCTCAAACACAAAACAAAACAACAACAACAACAAAAAGAATTTCAACAAAACAAACACATGATGTCTGAAAACAAGCACTTAGGCTGGAGAGATGGCTCAGGCTAAGAGCCCTTGCTGTTCCTTGCAGAGGACTCATGTTAAGAGGCTCACAACCATACCTTGGTGCATATGTCCACAAACATACACACAGTTAAAAGAAGGCAATTATGGGAGCTCATGGTGTCCATAGAGGGGCCTAAGATACACCTCACTCCATCATACTGCCCGTGGTGGGAACAAGGGAAGCGATCTGGGCTATGGACTTAGACATGTAGTTGCAGAATCCAGTCTCCCCAGCCACTTGCTGCTAGACCAGGGATAGCAGTCAGAGGGGAGATGGCGTCCTCTATGACAGGAACTGCCTGGGCCAGTGCCGCGGGGAGAAATCACGCTTTGAGGTATCTGGAGAGAGTGGCCATTCCCTCACCCCCAACAGGTGTCAGTGGTCTCTGGCTTCCCTGCCCTTGTCACGGCCTCGCAGTGACTCCAACAGGAGCCCCTTCAGTTCCCAAGACACACTCCTCATCTCTCTCCGCAGGGGATGGGTCAGCCCTAGCTCATCCACCAGCCGGACCGGGAGTTGAGACTGTCAATTCACCTCCACCCCCTCTTTTTGTCTGTTTCAGAAAACACCGGGTCCAGGAGCATACACAGCTTCAAGACAATTCCCTAAGCAGTCCCCAACCATTGCCAAAATGGGTAGAGAACACAGCCTTTTCTTCAATAACACAATTGGCTTTTAAAATAAAAGAATATTGGTGCCATGCTACTTTGAGCTTTAACAAGTTCTTTTGTCCAGAAAGATCTTGCCTATTGTAATCTTGCCCGTTTCTTGTGGGGGTTGGCCCCAGATCAGTTGCCTGGGTGACCACCCTGTAGGGTCCTAGTCTGAACCATCAGTTGCCCTGCTTAATCCAAGAGGACAGCTGTCCCAGAGGCTGGCCCAGGCTGTGCCTTGAAGCAGTGTGCATGGCCGATCTGTCCAGGCTATGTGGTGCGTGGCCTTCTCCATCATACTAACGTCGGAAGACCTCCAGATCCCCTTGAAGGCGTCTATGGGTCGGTTGCTTCAAGCCACAGGTAGACTTGGCAGCCTCCCAAAAGGTGGCACTTTTTTTCTTTTTCAGCCTCCTGAAAAGAACAGTTTGACTCAGCCATGTGTCACATCACAGCTAACATCCTGGTCACTGATGGATACATATATGACAGAGGCCTCTGGACACTACAGTGTAGCAGAAAAACCTCCATGGCCTAATGACATTGTAGTACAAGGTAGTGTAAGTTTGTGGTGACGAAGCCATTAGCCTGCCTGTCATGTGCAAGCATGACACTGTTCCACAGGACCATTCTCCTGGACAAACGGCCACCATCTTCACCATCTGCTTGGTGACTACTGGTGTCCCCTTAAAAGGGCAGGCCTGGTCGTGGGCCACCCGAGTGTCCAGCCGTGCCACTCTGGTTGTTATATCAACTCGGTCCTGGTTGTACATGGCCTCAGTGAGGAGCCATCATCCATGCTGATTGCAGACCGTCCAGCGTGGCTGCCTTAAGGCTACCCATGCTCCTTTCACTCCATAAATCCTCTGTACATGGAAGTTTCTGTCCTGCTAACAACTCCCAAATACCCAGCAGCTGCTTCCCAAATTACCACACAGAGGCTTATATTACTTATAAATGTTCGGCCGATAGCTCAGGCTAATTACTAACTAACTCCTACACTTAAATTAGCCCATAATTCTCATCTATGTTTAGTCACATGGCTTGGTACCTTTTCTCAGTATGACACTCTCATCTTGCTTCCTCTGCATCTGGCTGGTGACTCCTGACCCCACCCTTCTCCTTCCCAGCATTCTGTTTGGTTTTCTCACCTAATTTCCAGCCCAGCTACCAGCCAATCAGCCTTTTATTAACCAGTGAGAGTAATATATGTTCATAGTGTAGAAAGGATTGTTCCACAGCCATCCTCACCCATTACTCTGTAAGCCAGCCTAATAAACTCATTGGTTTCCCAGCGTGAACTTTAGAATTATAAAGTCATTGGGACCTTAGGAGGGGCGGGGTAGACATTGTTTGTGTCTTCCTCAGGAAGGAATTTTATCCATAGATACATTACAGCTATTGTACAGAGCAAAATGCTTGGTAATGGATGGCTATATTACTGGTTTGATTATTGTATTACAACTTTACCCCTTCTCTTGCCAAGTATAATTTTTCTATATGTTTAACTTGTGTATGTGCACTAGTGTATGTGTGCGCGTGCATGTGCGTGTGCGTGTGTGCGTGTGCGTATGTGTTGGGAGTCACACACAGGGTCTTATGTATGATAAGCATGGGTTTTATCACCAAGCCTCAGCTCGGCTCATTTACCATTAGTTTAGAGTGTATGCCTTTTACTTATTAAAAAAGAAAAAAAGGAAAAAAGCAAGTTCACAGTAAAACAGCATATTATGGGATAGGGAGATGGCTCAGTAGGTTAAAGTGCCAGAACCACATAAAAAAGCTGAACATGATAGTGCGTGTATAACTCTGGTGCTGGGGGAGAGAGCCAAGAGGCTGGGACAGGAAGATCCCAGGGTTCACTGGCCAGTCTAGCTGAATGGCAACCTCCAGACTCAGTGAGAAGTATTGTCTCAAAAAATACTATAGAGAATGACAGAGGAAGACACTCAAAGTTGACCTATGGCCTCACACGCAGGCATGGGCCTGTGGGTCAGTACACACTGGTGTGCACACATGCACAAATATCACACACATACACAAACACCCCAGTGTACAATGTTATACCTATAGCAACCTCAGGCATCTCATGTTCACTCTTGATTGTATCATTTTCTTGTATTTAATTGAATCTCATATTTTGTTCATCATGGCTATAGAAGCATAAACTATACCAATCACATGGGTGTTCCATATATATGCACACATACATATCATATAACATATGACATCTAGGTTTATGTTTGCATCCAATAGTAAAATCAATTAATGAGTGTGTATGTTCCCATGAAGTGCCCATGACTACATTTTTGACTCCAGGTCAACGGAAACCTTAAGTATCTTCTATGTGCTGGGTGCTGTGCTGGGGTTGAAAGGCTTGGATCAGAGATGAAGGGTCTTGGGATTGAATTTGGCAGGGCAGGAAGGGAAACCAGGCCTGAGAAGGAGTCTAGGAGCTATGCCAAGAAGGTCCAGCAGGTCTCTGAGGTCTGGGGCTCCAAGAATGTCCGCATGCAGGTGATGGCTCTAATATAAAGACCAACTCTAGTCTTGGAAAGACGTCAGATCACTGCCAGTGCCCAGCAGAGGACCGCGACCTGCCTCACGTGTCCAGTGGAGGGAGAAGACAGCAGAGTCAAGCGCCAAGACATGCAGACGGGAAGCCTGTCCAGCACCCAAGGGACCCAGGCTGAGATGAGCAGGGAGGAAGGGGAGGCTGGTCAGGAGCAAGGACCACCATCCGGGTAAAGGGCCAAGGCAGGGACAGACATTTGTTGAGGGAGGGAGCCGAGGAAATGTGGCTCTGAAGTGGGGGGAGAGGGCATGGAGGGGGTGCAGCTGTGAGAGGGCAGGACTGTGAGCCTCGTACACCAGAAAGTCCTTTCCCAGGTCCAGGAGGATCAGCAGCGGGGTCCTGTGAAAGACAGTAGGGCTCAGGGAGGAAGATCAGCCCAGAGTTTGGCAAACACTTTAGAAATTAATAAAAGTAAAAAAATCCTTTTGAGTGAAAAAGGCCCCCGGGCCCCTCTCTGAATTTAGAAGCCTTTATAACACGTACTATTCCTGTCTTCAGTTTGGGGGAAGAAACTCCCCTCCCACCTGAGAACCCATCCTGGGCACGCGGGACGTCAGAGTTTCTTGCCTGTTTTGATCAGAACAGAGTGACATGGCACAGTTGTAGCTGGAGTTTTCTCCAGTCCTGCTCAGCCCCACGGACCCCACAACCACTTATAACATAATCATTCAGCAGCTCAGATTAATTAAACTGCTCGGCCATTAGCTCAGGCCTGCCACTGACCAGCTCTCACACTTAAACTCAGCCCATTTCTGTTCATCTATATGTCGCCATGTGTTCTGTGGCTTTACCTGCTGCCTTTACATGCTGCTCCCTGGACGACAGGCTGGCGTCTCATCCCCTCAGCCTTCCACTTCCCAGAATTCTCCTCTCTCTTTGTCCCACCTATACTTCCTGCCTGGCTTTTGGCCAGTCAGCATTTTATTTAGCAATCAGTCATCCACAGCAGAGAGTCTCAAGGTTTTTTTTTTGTTGTTGTTGTTGTTGTTGTTGTTTTTCCAAGACAGGGTTTCTCTGTGTAGTCCTGGCTGTCCTGGAACTCACTCTGTAGACCAGGCTGGCCTTGAACTCAGAGCTCTGCCTGCCTCTGCCTCCTGAGTGCTGGAATCAAAGGCATGTGCCACCACCGGCCCGGAATCTCAAGCTTTATTCTCTGAATGGGCCAAAGTTCCTGCAGGATAATTCCAAGATGAGGAAAGAGGGGATAGACCTGGTTTGACATTGAGCTTGATGAAAAACAGAAAACAACAAAAACACTCGGGGCAAAGGCAGGTAGATATCGTATAAGGTTCAAAGCTAACCTGGTCTACAGAGTGAGTTCCAGGACAGCCAGGACTACTCAGTGAAACTCTGTCTAGGGGGGTTGGGAGGGGACTTGACACATTGAGCTTGGCTATGAGACTGGAATACTGACACTTAGCAGCTAGGAACACCCCGATCATCAAATGCCATGTCTGAGAGGAAGCTCTCCACAGAGCACTACAAATCTAAGGGACTGCAGACCTCCCTGGACTGGTCCCCACCCCATCTTAACCCATCTTCAATCCTGAGGGTCTTCCTTTAGTGTCTGAAGGGGGCAATCCTGCCTCCCCTCCTCCATTAGCTCCCCTAGGTCTCTGCCCTGGTTCCTCTGAGCAGCTTTCTCCTCCCCACCCCCCCACCCCCCCCAGCTTCTCTGTGAGTTTGGCTCCAGCCGAAGGGAATGTGTCTTCTTGGCTGCAGATGTCTCATGCCAAGTCCATGTGAGGTGTCCTCTTCATTAAGCAGAGGACGTCAAAAGTCACGGCACCGAAGGGGACAGCCAGCCTGGCCCTTTTCTCGCTTTCTCATCCCTGTCCTGTCTCTGCGCTCTGGACCCACAGGCATAATAACTCCTTCCCCCTCGATGGCTATATGGCGGGCGTGAACACTGAGGCTAAGGACCACAGGCTGCCTGAGTGACCAGCCCTGTGGCCAGCCTAATCTGAAACGGGCTAGATGTCATTTACACACACACACACACACACACACACACACACACACACACACACACACACACACGAGCTATGCTTAGCTTACCCAGTCATTTGTCAATGGCTGTGTGGATTGCTTCCATGGTTTAGCTTTTGTGAACAATGCTGCTATGTACACAAATGTATAGATCTCTCTCTCTCTGGGACTCAACTTTCAATTCTTTGAGGGAATCTCAGTAGAACTGAGGATCACAGTTGTCCAATTTTTAATCTTTTGAGGAACCACCATACTGTTTTCCACAGTGAAGGAACAGTTTCATGTTCCCAAGAGTGCATAAGGGGTTACATTTTGCCATATCTTCACCAAAATGGTTTCTGTCTTGGTAGTAGCCATCTTAATGGGTGTGAGGTGGTACCATATAGCTGTGATTTGCATTCCCTTGAATCATTAGTGATGTTGGGCATCTTTTCTTAGACTTACTGGCCATTAGTAAATTTTGTGGAGAACTCTGGAGAAATCCTCTG